TAAATACATTACTACTTGTGTATGAATCCTTATGCTTTCCAATTTTTATATATGCAATATTTTAAAAGATTTACGCCATTTACCCATTTTAAATATTTTCCGCCAAGCAAAAAAATTTTTGGTGCAAATGCAATGCTTTATTCGCCTACGTGGCTGGTAAGAAGAAACTAAAGAAGAAATTCGCGCAAACGTATTCTTCCCTGCAGAAAACTAATATTTTGTCTTCGTAAGTGGGTCAGTAAAATTTATTTTTATTTATGATTGCAGTTATTCGGTTATGGTTTTTCCGCCTTTTGATAAATGTCTTTTGATTTTGTGCAATTTTCCTAGAAAGGCTAAAGGTTTATAAAACTCTAAAATTTTCTATGAACATTGTACGACAGAAAGTTAATCTGAATGCTGGTAATTTATATAAAAAAAAATGGATTGGTTTGGTGCATCGCATGCATACATACATACATTTTTATATGATACCTCTTACATAAATAGCATTCATTGAATACTCGAAGCATAAAAAAGCGAATTTTTGGTGAATAAATAAGCCGACTTTGTGATAGCAGGTCAAATTTTCAAACTGCTAATATTTTTAACCTTTTTATGTGTTGTGGTTGAATTTTATATATGTATGCAGTCAAATATCATATGTATTGAGAATTCATATACATTTATCAATAATACAATAATATATGTACATATACATATATATATTTTATATATTTTATACAAAAAAATTTAAAAGCATTAGATCGTTTGTATTTTCATTTATTACGAAAAAAATTCTACATTTCTTTTAGGCACACTGTACCTGGTGCATTGATACTTTTGCAGGCTGTTTTTTTTTTTATGAATGCATCATATATATATAGGCTCTGTTGTTTGTCCTTGTAACAGTACATATATTTTTTTTTTGCCAGATATTTTGTCATGCAAATATTCCTTCCAACCTACTACTGCTAAGACCTTTCATCTAATAGCTTATTGCACCCATTTTTATTTTCAGCTAAGCGAAGACATCGGCTACGTGTTATACTCGGCGTTAGGCTCCTTTTACTTGCCCAGCTGCATAATGGTTTTTGTCTACATACGAATTTATTTTGCTGCCAAAGCGAGAGCGAGACGCGGCATTAAGAAGCATCCACGTAAAACGAACAACGAACAGGTGAGCATTAGAGAAGTATATACGTACATATGTATTTTTTCATATTTTTACAAAAAAAAAAACAAAGGATACATTTTCTGTATATGTCAGCTAGTGCACGCGAATCATATGTCAATATCCTTGGAAGTAACGTGTATGGTTTTTGTTTGTGATTTTTGCTGCCAGCAACAGCACTCGTGTAGGCATGCAATGATTTTTGCTGAAACTCTCACTCACACAACTACATGTGGAAAAAAAATGCCTATGCTTGGAGGTGCAGAACTCATTTGCAGCGATTATTGCTGATTTACAGGAATATCTGGTACAATAAGTTTACCATTGCGCTGCATTGCCATCGGCTGCAATTGCTGGCATTTCCAATTGCCACTATCAGATGAATGTGCAATATGTACCTATGTATGTATGTGTGTGGGCAATGGATTTATCCTACATATTGTCAATTCGCTGAAGAACAAACAGCCGTTTTAAACGATGCATATGGTGCTTCGCGTTGTTGCTGGAAGCGGTCTTTTAGAAAAGCCAACAGCATTGATGAAACAAATCTGACGAGCTAAGAGCAACAGCAACACCGAAATTGCATACAAAATTCGGCGAGTTATAAATATTAGCGGCATTCGTGTCCGTCTGTTTGTAATTCTCTGCATTCAGTGATTTTTAAAAGCTCTTGTGGTTCGGCGTTTTCCACTAAATGGAGTTTTTTTTTTGTTTTTGCAATATGGGATATTCACTTTTTGATCGGGAAAGGCCATTGGCGAACGTCTAATTGGAATATTGTTTATTTTTTGTGGCAGCTGTGGCCGCGTGATTAGAGGTGCGTGTCGCCACTCCATTTAGCCAGCATTTAAATTCAGAAAAAGTGTTGAAAGTGCATTTAATGTCGATGGTTCCATATTATGGAGATGTAGGTTTTGCTGTAGATAGAAAAAGAGTCGTGGTTATGTAAGGATCACTGAATTAATTTGACCGACGATCAGGTGTTTATATTCACCTTCACCAAAGTTAGGACAATCACAATTGTTTCTTTTTTGAATAACTTTGAAAAGTTTTCAAACAGAATGTTCATATTGGAGGCAATAGACGTTGGCATCAAATACAACATATCTGTAAAGTTTCAAGAGTGTATAACGAAATAAAAAAAAAAAAAATGGCAGCATGCAGAATATCTATCGCTGCCATAGGCGTACGTAGGTAGGGGCTGGGGGTGTTGCATAATCCATAATCCCTTAAGGGGTCTTCACGTCCATTTCCACAGTTTTGGTAAACTGCTGATTGTTACTCGATATGTTTATAAACAAATGATTGGTACTTCTTTGCTGTACAAAAAATAAATTGTAACAGAAAATTTAATATATATTTTACTCAATCATATCGATCATTTACTTAAAAAAAAATGGTAAAATAATTACTTTCTTCTAATATTTTCTACTTAGCTTGTACTTGAAATTTAAGTTTATATNAAAAAAAAACAAAAATAAAATCATCGCTAAAACAATTTATCGATTCGCAGAAGACCCTCTAAGACAATTGTTTAAATAAACAAGTAATTTTTTAGCAAAAAAACAAAAACGAATGCAGTTCCCGTGTAAAACTTTAAGAGTACCGTTAATTTCTTCATGATCCCATAATCGGATCTAAGCCCAATTAGGCTAGAACCACCTCTGAAAAAAAAATAATTATTATTATAAAAAAATCGTCCGACGTACAGATAACATCCTCCTTTTTTTAATCGGTTAAGAAGAGAAAAATTAATGAGGTGAATTATTATAAATTTTTAAATAGCTATGCATATTTCAACATTTCTAATAAAATTTACATTACAAATAATCTCAGCTAGTTAATTAGTTAAGATACTTCCAAATGTTAAAAAAAACGGTGAAAATATTCTTCTTGCCAAAACTAAGATTCGATTTTTTAAATTTTTATTGGCACACTCTCAGTTACATACGTACATGAATAAAGTAGTATATATGTGATTTATTTTGAAACGAATTTCCGCCATCCCTTGTCAAGCTTAGTTTGCAGACACAGACTAAGAATAATTCAGTCAAATGAGGGCATAAGTAACAAACTGACATGTACATATGTCTGTATATGTCTGTATTTCCCAGTAGAGTCCTCGCTGATATAAAATTACCAGCGTTGAGACATATTAAAATATTAACTGCATATTTCCGAACGCCGTCATTTCTAAATGAATTTTTGTGTTGTCATACCACTGCAATATTATAGCTGATTTGTTACTTAGCACTTTAATACTCTACTAATTCGGACTAATTACTGGAATTAGAAAAGCTGTAAGTGTTCTTAAAATGACATTACTACTGCTAAAGCTAAACATAAATTAACACATTTGCAGCTGAAAAGCTACTTAAATGAATGACAGCAGATTAGAACCAACATAAAGAAAACTGATTAAACGTGGCTAATTGCAAAATTTAGTAACAGAATCCCAGCTTAAACTGATTTCAAATTTACTTAGGTAAGCAGATTTAAAATATCAGATAAACAGTGGTAATCAATTAATGCATTTGAGTAATGGCTAGATTTTAATTAACCTTTTTTGTGTTCTGCCAAAGAGCGATTTCATATATACACATACATGTGTAAATACTACATAATCGACATCTAGAATATACATACATATTGTATGTATGTACATATGTGTCACGAAAATTATAAATGAGTACGTTGAATCCAAAATGCCTTAAAAGGAGCGCACTGAACTCGTTTTGGATGTGGAGCAGCAGGATGTGTTGCGCTTGGCATTCTGGTTGCTTGTCGCGCTGTTAGTTGAAACCCGTGTGTAACGAGCTCAATTCATTATTATTCCTCATGATGCTCATATTTTAGCTCATTTAAATGTTACGAAATGCGAGCAATGAAAAATGACGTATGTACGTGCCACTTTGGCGCACTCACTCATACTCGAATAACGCTGATAGATGAGCTAGCGAGCGCAGTAATATGTCAATTACAGCTATGTACAACCAAAAAAAAAAATAAAAAATTATGGAAACGACTAAAGCGAAAAAATTGGAAAAAACACAAAACCAATATTGTAATTGAGAATTTTCCAATTCCGTACATTTGTACAATGTTTGACATATTCTCATTATTGCTTTCGAAGCCGCTGGGGACACGTTTGCGCCGAAGTTTCGTTGTCGTATTCGCGTATCGCGCCGATTATTAATGAATTTGCAAAATGAAGCATACAATCGTTGTAAAATGGATTTCCAATTTATGTTTTTGCAGTTCATTATCTGTATTGAGCCGTGTTACATATTCATGAAAAAATTTGCACGCATACATATCTACATACATATGTATGGTCACCTCAAATGCAAAAAGACGTAACACACATCAACGTTGAAAATGCAGAAATCCCCACAACATTTTATGAAAAAAATTAAAATATTAGTCACGACTTTTTCCATTTCAAGTACGATGTTACGTCTTTTTGCGTTTCAGGCATATACATACATATGTGTATGAATGCAAGTGTGGACATAAAAACAATGCAAAACAGGTGAAATGTGTTGAAATGTCAAAGCAAACATGAAATTGTTTGAATAGGTATTTAGTGTTATTGAAATTTAGGTTTCAATCATTTTCGTGGAAATGCTCACTTAAGCATGCACGGCACGCTTGATTTTTTCGTTGGTGTTTTACGATTCCAAATAATTTCCTAACGATTTTCTTTCAGCGCTGCCGCCGCCGATTACACTGTGCTAGTCGAAAATTTGAACATTGTTAGGTCAGGTAGGTTGTTGTGGTAAACATAATTCGATTACGTTTGTTTCGGTCATCACAATCGTTTTTCTGGTTTGGTTATAGTTTTCGAGTTACGATTGAACTGATTCGAATATTTTTTTTTTTTATTGTTCGGTGTAATACCAGGCTCATTTGTAACAAAAAAGCTTCGAGTGTTGCCACCAGTTTGAAATATTTTGAAATTGATAATACAAATGAAATATTACATTATGGGTATCATGCCAAAGAAGTTTAAGAAGGTATTCAGTTGAAAAGAAATTTAGAGAAAATTTTCCACCTGTTTGAAATTCTTAAACTCAGTAAAATTGATCAAATTAAACAAATATTTCAATATGGCTATCAAATTAAAAAGATTTAGAACGACTACAAACACATACGAATATATATGTATTGAATTTTTATTGTACCTAAATATTGAATAAATAGTTAAAATATAAAAAGTAAGTATTTTTTGGGGTCTTGTTGATGAAAATTTTAAATGCGAATAACTCGAAAACTAGAGCCAAACCAACACTATGATCAATGCAATTAGCGTACTCGAATTATATTTATTTACCACTTGTGAACCACCGATGCCCAAAAGAAAATTTATCGAGCACAGTGTTATTGAAATGTGATTTCTCTTGAGGTCACACGCAGTAGCATGTAATGGTTGTTTACTCGACAATCAAAATGAATTTCATCTATTTTTTTAATTTTTTATTTTTTTGTTATTCTATGAATGGTTTGGAGCACTCACTCACTTAGTTTCGTGATAACCCCTAAGCACGTTCTAGATATGGAATCGTTATTTGTACCACATTGTGCAAATAAGCATGCCCTGGTTTATACAAAAAAGCAAAAAACACATATGCGCACTAGACTGACTCACTCTCCATACAAACAAAAAAAAATAAAAATCGGTACTGTTTTTAAATTGGAATTATAAAATCTATTATATATTAAGATACGCGCCAAAATATTTTTCGAAATTTTATGGCGAACGTCTTAAAATATAATAAATTTTGCAATCCCGCCGGAAAAACCGCAACTTTTTTTGGTGATGCACTCAAATATACATATCTACTCTTTTGTTCCAAAAAAAACTTATTTGAATTTCCATTCTCCTGCAGGTCACCAGCTTCACCACCATCGGCAAGAAGGGCACCATTCCAATGCCGTCGTCGAGCGCCATTAGCGCGCTGCAAATGAATCAGCAGCGTCAAATAGCCACCATTGAAACACCACCGAATAGCGCCTCGCTGCCAATGCAGATACCCACAGTGACGTGCGATCTCGCGTCGGACATTTCCACATCGGAGGCAGCCGACATGGAGCCGCATCCACTCGTCTATCCGAATGGCAACTCAAATGTACCGTCCCCGCTCAGCATGCTCACGCCTGGTTCACCAAACTGCACGCTGTCCGCGACGGACCGGGAAACACTGAAGGTGAGTACAATAGCGACGAGCCGCGGCGCCCTAAATGTGCCCGTGCCACCGTCAATGGCCGCTGCAGCTACGTCCAATTCACCAGCTTCCAACAATAATAACAATGATAGTGCCACGCCCATCGGCACTGATGGCGTGACTAGTGGGACGGCGCCAACAACAACTGCCACAGGAGCCTCCAATGCCATGTCCACCGGCGCGACGCTAATGACACCGAACGCGAGTGGTGGCGCAGCGGCGGCGACAGCAGGCGCATCACCAAATGAGTTACGCGTCTCTCCTATAGCAGGCCGATGTCGCGCACTCTCGGTAGGTATTGACACCGATATGGTTAGCGAATTCGATCCATCCAGCTCCGATTCGGGTGTGGTAAGTCGTTGCGCAGTGGTAAAGCCGCTGAAGTTTAGACTGTGCCAACCGATCTTCGGACGCAAAGCGGCAAACCAAGCGCGACGAAACGAAGCAAAGGCGACTGCCACAGCGGTGGCGACATCGAAAACATTGAAACCCTCCGAAGTGGTAAAAGCCGAACTGGAACCGGCCATACCAAAGGTGCAAAAACCACGCGATCCCGAAAAGGAGAAGCGGCGCATCGCTCGCAAAAAAGAGAAGCGTGCCACACTTATATTGGGTCTAATTATGGGCAGTTTTATAGCCTGCTGGTTGCCGTTCTTCTTCCTCTACATCCTGGTACCGGCCTGTGGCAGCTATTGCGACATACCGGATTCGGCGTTCGCGATCGCTTTCTGGCTGGGCTACATGAACTCCGCCTTGAATCCGGCCATTTACACCATCTTCAACAAGGACTTTAGGCGCGCCTTTCGGCGTATACTATTCAAGTGATGTTTGGCCTATGTGTGCTGTTATCGGTGCGTTCATGCGAGCATTGAGAAGGCCACCGAACGTGCCATGGGCAGCACACCCATTGGTTATGGCATGTACCATTATAGGCGATAGATTTGGTTATTTGCTTTTGTGCGCTAAAAAAAAAAGAAACGAAAACTGGAAGCGGAAATGGAAATGGAAAAGAACAACTCCAAATATATATATTTGTCCAATACCCATTTACTCTGAATGAAGGAAAGGTATAGACTAGGATCGTCTTTAAAAAAAATCTATAGTCCAGTACTTGCAATGGTAATTTCAAATGTTTTTTTTTTTTGNTATGTATTTTCGCGTTCAATTAAATTCGGTTATTGCAATATTTTTAAATTGGAATATGCAACTCTCCATTGACTGCACATAAACGTTATTTCATTATTGTGTATAATCGTTACGAAAATTGTTGACAAAATAAAATTAGTGCTCATTTTAAAGCAATGAACGGCTGTGAAACCAATGGGTAATTCATATTGCTTTCCAATTAAATAGTTTTGCGATTTGATTTCTTAGTTTCTCTTTCGTCGATCGGCTTTTTATGCCAAATCTTAGTTGTTCTATGCCTACTATTTGAAATAAAAATTGTCTACTTGCAGCGAGTCATAACTTTGCACATTTTAAAACCAGAGGCAATATTTACCTACGACTGCTAAGCTCAGTTAAATATTTTCTTTATTTTCCAACATTTTCAATACTACAACGCTTGAGGCATATACATAGATATTTTTTGTAATTCATCAACAAAGGCTAATAAGTAAATTACTTCTAGATACACACTTCGCTATATACATATTCACATGTGATATATTTTATAACAAAATCCACTGGAGTTACTTCGCAGTTCGTAATCCCACCCTCTCTTAAGCTCTGCCATATCTCCAAGCTGTGGAAGGAGGTTAACTCTGGCCTGCAAGTGGATAGATGCAAGTCTATTTTGCAAGACAATTGAAGGACAGTAGGCAAGATAGTTTGGATGATTTCACATCTCCTTTGTCAGCTTACATGGTGAAAAACTTGAGCATGTATATCAGTTTGCTTGCGCTGCTCTAACGGTCGCAATGGCCGAGCGGGCAAATTACTGGCGTGCCATTCGAGAGATCCGAGGATGGAATGTTCAGGTAGCGGGATTTGTTTTCTTCATTTCATTGAATTTTTTTGTAATGTATTTAATTCTCTTTTCATTTTTGGACTTTATTGTAGGGCAATGCGATTACTCGATTACTCGAGCAAGTTGGTTAATCAATTATTCGGTTAAACAATTACTCGAGTAATCAAGATTTTTGACAGTTGCCGGAATTGCGTTTCAAACTTAAATATTTGTATCAGGAACAGGTAGAGTCTGCGAATTTTGGGACTGCGGTGACTTTTACTACATAAAATCACTGAAGAGGACAACGCTCAGAATGACTATAACCCTCTTCCAACTCGACACTTCTATCCAAAGAACATCCAGCCTCTTCTACTCGTAAAGGTGGAGCCAGGTTTTCATTAACTGAGCGATCACTTTAAGTAAGTTAATAAATCTTTGTAGCATCCTTTGAGGGTAGCAAGATTTCTCCGCCATGATTACTCTCGGGATAGACGGGTGCTTTGTTGAACTCGTACACCAACTGCTCATCCGCAGAGTGGTGAGTACGAAACTGGAAGTTGCGGGGCAATGTTGCATTAGGAAATTAAACGTAGGCTATCTAAAAGAGGCGTATTTTGCTTCTCTAGAGGTACACCAAGCTAAAACGCTATTTTTAAGGGACCGAAAATAACCGTTGTAATATTTTTCAAAAACTACAAACTTTTTTCACAGAGTAACATCGTTGTTGTTCTTGTGATCCTCAATACATCCTGCAAAAGAAGTTTACTATGAAATGTAAAATGATACCAGTTAAACTGAGCCGAATATCTTCCAAATGTTTGCATTTCACTGAACAAATAGCGAATCAAAAACAAGTTACAGTCGAATTTCACTCAGGCTTTCTATAAAGGAAACAGTCAGGAAAAAACATAAAAATCAACGCGACTTCTTAGCCACTGCACTAACAGTATAGAAAATTGCTACATTTACTTATAAAAATAAATTTTCTATTCCATTCAATTCATTTAATCAGATTAAAATGGCAATTCAAAAATTTCTAAATTTGTCAACTATTTTAAAATTCTCTTCCGTTGGATTTTTCCCAACAATTAAAAATCTCTGCAGCCAATTCGACAAATTTTCCAGTCAATTATTTATTTATTTTTTTCCTTTTGATTGCAGTTCACAAAACATTTACAAAGTTTTCTACAGATTTGGTTTTGGCATACATACTTTTTAGGCCTGCAGTTGCACTGAAGTCAACAGCAATAAGTTTGGGTATTTGAAAATTTAATAAAAGAAGATAAATTTGTCATGCTGTACGTTTACATATACATACATACATACATACTTAGGCACATACTGCGAAGCACTCATGTAGAAACGTTTTAGTGAAATATCAAAAAATTTGTTGATTTCAGGCTGTAAACCATTATTAGATATATGTACTACAACAACTTGTCGATAAATCGAGTTTTCGAGTTGAATTTGTTGATGACCCCAAATATTTCTGTTATGGTACTAATGGCCTGACCACATGACATTTGCATGCCGAGAGTCGAACAAGCACAATCTAAATAAGTATGCAGCAATGTAGCAAATGCCTCCAGCTAGGTACGATATGAGTTTATGACATTTATGCAACTTCATTTTATGGTGCTGACTGACTGCTTTAAATTGCACGATATTTGCATAAATCCATTTACCATAAAAACATTTTCATATGTACATACATATGTTTGTTGAAGCCATTATAAAGAAAGCACATACATATACCCAGTCGGATCGTGCAGCATGTGGTTCCGAAAATAATTCCTTTTTAGGTAAGAATTTATTTACTACTGAACCCGCATGGCGTTCAAACGCCCAAAATGGAACATAAGAAACCTAAATAATATTCCAAATATTAGTCACAGTTATGAGCGATCAAAGTGCCACATTTCATCAAGATCACCATTTACCGATAAAAAAAGATCTTAAGTAAAAAAAATAAAACTTTACCGCACGTCTACAGGTTATGGTCTTTAATTTGACCTCTCATTTTTTAAATTCAAAAGAACGCTGAAAATCGAATGAATATCACACAAAATACCTTCTCGTATAATACACATACAAACACTTTTAGATTAATATGTTTTTTTTTCGAAAAGGTGGCCAGCCTAATTAAAGATATTTTCAAACTAAAGCGCTCATAAATTTCTTTCTAAGTATTTGATAAAACTTTTGTAAACGTTAACACAGATGAACTAATTTGTATTTAATGAACATGTTGCAATCCTCCTAAATAAATGTGAGAAATAAAGAGTTTTCAAAACTATTTCGATTCCTTTCATAATTCGTCGAGCTTATTGAATAATTTGAATGTAACTTTTTAAAAACGTGGCAGCCCTTCTCAAACGTTTCAAATGTTCGCACTAAATATTTCTTAATACTTTTTCGTTTGACTCCCGTATTTATATAATTTACATAAATTTTGCATTAGTTAATTAAACTAAATCTTTCAAACAGATGGCAGCCCTCTTGAAAAGTATTTTCAAGCTAAACTCTTGTTAAGGCTCCTTTGTCTAACATTGCGATACATATTTTAATTAAGTAATAAATTACGTTGAGTTTGATTTTTTAAACATGTGGCAACCCCACTAAATATAGTTCAGAAATAAAGATTTTTTTTGAAGCCCCCCTTAGATGGATACCCAAATTTTAATAATTCATTTAACTTATTAAATACTTTGAATTTACCTATTTAAACAGGTGGCAACCCTTTCCCATCACCCCGAAAATAGTCTTAGCGTTGAAAATAAAGATTTCTTAATACACTTGCGTTCGACATTCATATTTTGATGTTTCGTATAATTTCTATATAAGTTAACTAAATTCGACATTTCAAGCAGGTGGCAGCCTTGTTCAAAATATTTTCAAATCATTACCTTCTGAAATTCATTTCTTTCTTCTCTTCCTCTTTCTTACTTCTCTTACTTATTTCCCTTAATTCAAATTGAATTTATTTCACAAACAGGTGGCAACCCTCCTATAGTTAAGTTAAAAAAAAAACAAAGCTTTTCAAAAATATTACGATTAATACCCATTTTGAATAATTGATAAATTTGTTTTAAATAATTTGAATATAGACAAGCTTTTAAAAGGTGGCAACTCTTTAAAAAAATAAAATAAATCCTTACTGCACATCTACAGCCCGAGACCTTTAATCTGTCACCTCACTTATGAAAATAGAAGGAACGGTACGGATCTGATGGTATTTATTATTAAAAATTTTGATTTTAATTGTTCAACAGGTGGCAACTCTTTTCAAGCGCTTTAACTTGACATCCCATTTTTGAAAATCGAACGAATGGTGCAGATCTTTTATGCGGAACACCAAAATACCTTCGCGTATTATATATATAGATATAGATTAGAAATTTGAAGTACAATTCATTTCTGTATGAAAAGTTAAACATCTGGTGAAAAAGTATTCGCATCCTTTCTTTATCATAAAAAGGCTGAAAATCTGTAAATCATGAAAACTTCACTGCTAAAATCAACATTTTGCAATGCTTTGACTTCGGCAAATTAGTTCGAACGAGAACAAAAGGCTTTACAAAGCTCTCTAAACCAACAACAATCAGCTCATGTAAAATTGACTGCTTAAAAAAAGCGAATTGAAAACAACATGTTTTTGGAACTACATACATACATACTTCTGAATGGAAAAAGAGCCGTTCTATAAGTACATTTTGGAAGAAACCTAGTCCGACTGAGTTTCATTGCATACAAATATTAGCATTTATACTCACACATACATGCATACATACATACATATTCAATAGTGAAAAGCCAAGACTTACTACTTAATTAAAAGATTTGGTTAATTAACTGGTATGAGCTGATTAGTTTTTAAACCGATGCGATGCGATGCGATGGTTTCGAATTTCTATAGGAATTTCTGATTAGGAAGTGCATACATAGAAGTTTTATTTCATTTTAAAATGAATGGGTAACCCATATGCAATCAGAGATTATTT